ATCATCATCAGCAACATCATCCTCAGCATCATCATCGTCATCATCATATGTATCGACATCATCATCATCAACATCATCACCATCATAATAATCAGAATCATCATCATCATCATCATCATGTTCCTCATCATCATGATCCTGATCATCATTATTGTCATCGTCATCATCATCATCATCATCATCATCAGCATCATCATTTTCCCGATCATGATCAGCATCATCATTATCAGCGCCATTGTCACAATGCTACGCATAATCAGAATCATCATCAGCAGCACCACCACCGTCATCATCATCGACGTCAAAATCGCCATCGTCCTCATCATCAGAATCATCATCATCAGCGAACCATCGCCATCACAATCACCATCATCAGCATCACCAGCCGCAGCATCATCACATCAGCGCAATCATCATCGGCAGCAGCATCACCACCACTACCATAATCATCACCAGCAGCAGTATGGTCATCATCCTCGTCCTCCTCATCGTCATCCTCATCCTCATCATCATCGTCATCATCATATTGCTCCTTCTCATTATCATCGTCATCATCATCACCATCCCAATCATCACCATCAGCATCAGCATTATCATCAGCAGATCCCGTCAAGTCAAGTCCGGTCGAAAGGGCCTGGAGGCCACTCAATCCGCAAGCGGAGACGGAGGGCGTGAAACAATACGGCAAGACAACGCGCATGCAAGACCAATGGTGGATAGAAAATCGATATAAAACCCTATCTTACATCATACGGTCTACCACATGTAATTCAAAAATGCAGTCTCCAACCGCTGCCAGGGGAAAGGCTCTTGGCGACATACAACGCGTGATATACTCGTACCTTGCTCTTGTCCCAAGAATGAATCGACAGCATCTGTCAATCTACGTCGCGGTCGGCCTCGGCGTCGAACTCCGGGCGGGCGCCATCGTAACATCTGCGCTGGCCACGTTTGCATGTCACCAATGGCAAAACGCGCCACAAGGCGCCACAGGGAGCGATCCATCACAACGGGCCAGTCTGACACAGGAAGAATGCCTGAAGCGACGCGCACCTTCTGTTTGCAACGTCGCCCCGCTTCCCCCCGACTTTCGCTGGGATGCCTGTTGAAACCGACCATATTGCGCAGCATTGTGGCTCGCGCCGACGCACTCCGCGACTGATGGAATGCTGTCGCGGCTGTCGCCGAAAGACCGTAGACCGCGATGGGCGCAACAACCGCGTCGAAAAGTTCCAAGAGAAGGCGCAACGATATAACCTCATTCAACCGAACCGTTTTGCGCAAGTGAAAGTTACCCCATGCACACTCCCTGCAACAATCTTTAGTGCAATCTGATATGCTGCGCAAGTCCCCATCCGAATTTCTCGCCGAAATACCTGTGAGACACACCTGGGACGTCATGACAGGCAACTGGCAGCCAGTAAGCTGCAGCATGAGAGGCCCTTTAACGTTGGACACAGAAACGTCGTTAGTGAGTACGCGCGTCTTGTCTGCATTCAACGAAAGGCCGCACGCCGACAATTCTTCCGAAAGAATGTCCCACATGCGAGTCGCCTGTGCGGCGGAACGTGCACACAGTGAAATCTCAAGCGCGTACAGGACGTTGCCGAGTAATTCAACATCTCCAACGTTGAAGCCGCACTGCTGAGCTCAGATCTTGAACCTCTGGATTGCGTGCTCCAGTCCAGCGATGAAAGCAGCGAAAACAAAACGTCGCCTGTTTGACTCCGCGCGCCATGTCAAACGCTGCGCCACAATTAACGCTGCCCCATTGGGCGCCGTTGCTGACAAAAGACGCACGCATGCTACATCAACCCCCTGTTCCGCGCCAACGCTTGGAAAAGCACGCGATGCTCCAGCCCGTCGGAAACTGCAGCGAGATCAACGCTAGCTTTCCACAGCGGGAGCTGCCATCCCCAGGCCTTCGCGCAAAAAAAACCCAGGACGACGCATGCGTCGCCCACGGAACGGCCCGGTCGAAACCCAACTGGGCCACGCGGCCGCCCCCCCCTAAATCGGGCTGCGAACGCGAGACGACCAGGCGAGCGAATATCTTACATGGCACGCGCGACTCGCAATGGGACGCCAATTCTCTACGTCACGCCTGCTGCCAGTCCTCGGCAACATGGTAGAACGCGTCTCCTGCCACGCGGGATCGCTGCACCCCGCGATGAGCGGCGCGTTCAAGCCCGACGAGACGCGCCCGCGCAGAGCATCGCCACCAAACGCAAGCACGTCAAGGGCGACGCCGCACTCATCTGCGCACCTTCCGCGCTTTATGCGCTCGAAATATTGTCGCAACCCCCCCTTGCGAAACGGCGCGATGTCAGATGACCCCCCGTCGCAACGAGCCGCTGCCCACTCGCCCCCGGCAGCGCCGCAGCCCGTGGAAACATGCGCCCGAGCGAAGCCTTACACACATTATGATATAACGGACGACGCTTGCTCTGCTGCTTCGGAAACACGCGCGCGAGGCAAGTGCTGGATACCTTCAAATGCCCGCAGCTGCGAAACAGCACGCCCATCGCTACACTCGCGCACGCTTTCCCGGCGCCCCCGATAAATTAATGTCAGCAATATGGGCATGTCTCGCGGGCCGCGTGTCTCGCGCCTCCTCCGGCGCAGCTCTCGCAGTTCAGGTGCGCCCCGTGGCTCCGCGCGCGAACGAGTCGCACTGCTGTTCGTCGCTGCCTGCACGCTGCACACTGAGATTCAGACAAAGAGTGCTGCGCACTCCTCTCACACATCAAACCTCGGCCCTCGGCATTTAGAGAAGGTTTCCATCGAATCGCACTGCGCTGCCGGCGTCGAGAGGCTGGGCTCACATCAAACACCCCGTGAACTGCGCGACGGTCAAAGACCGAATCTAAAAAGTCCCTCGGGCAGCAAGACTGGCAATGAGACGAAGCATTAAATAGCATTTTGTCCATGACCCGCTTGGCGCCAAGTGAACTTCGAATCGCCCATGCATCAGGCGCGCGTCGAACATCGCCGGCTTCAGAGCCGCTTTCGGAACAAAACGTTTGTAATAATAACAATAATAATAAGCGCTCTCTGTCTCCAAATTCAAACTGCGCATTAAAATCACCCGCTACGCATATTTTCCGGCGTCGCATCTTGGCAAAGTATACCTCCTGCTGTAAACATGTGCAACATTGCATTCGATCATCGCGCGGGTGCCCAGCGCGCGGCACGCACGCAGAAAGGAACATGCAAGCATTGCCGTGGATATCAATTTCAACTGCTAGCACTCGGCCACACTGCGCACGCGCAGCTGCGACAACTCCCGCGCGCCGAGCACGCAAACAAATTGCCTCCCCTGTGTATCTAGATGGGCCAGATGCGGCTATGGAACGGCGCCCCCCGTCAAGGTCAATGTCATCAGACGAGGCACGGATCTCGGCAAAACAAATAACATCCCAAGCTAGCTCCGAAAGCGCCCCGAGACAAACCCCGACCGATCAAGAGTATACACACGTTTTTGCCGTAAGAGTTAAACTTAGCATCGACTTCAGGTGAAACTTCTCCTGTGCCCCTCGACCGGCGTTGTCCCCAGCTGCGGCCGTCGGCAGCAGCACGGGCAGGTGGAGGGCGATCGAGTTCTCCAGCTCGCTCTTGTCCTGCCTTGCCGCCACCTTTTCCGACCTTGCCCTTGCCCTTGCCCTTGTCCATGCGGCCTCGCGGAAGCTTCTCGGAGCGCGTCTTCAAAAGTTCTTGCCGTTCAGGGTCTGCGCTCAAGCACTGCTCCCAGCCGTTGCCGTCCTTGATCGTCAAAGCTCCTGCACTCGTGCTCGCCTCTAACACGATATCGCACCCCACTGTCACATTGCCTGCCTCCAGATCCACCCAAAACTCCCTCTTCCCGAACCCCCGCGCGACGAATAATTTCTTTGCGCCGAATCAGAAAGACTGGGGCACGCGGATCTCGAGATGGGAGCCCCCCTTCGCCCATACCAGCTCGTCCTCCAGGTAGACGCGTGCAGTTCTGAGCTTCGATAATGCAGAGTCTCGATCTGCCGTGGACGCGAACTTGCCGAAAGGGATGCCCGAAAAGTCCCCTTTAGAGTAAAACTCGTCGGCTTTCGGGGCACTGCACCACCAAAGCTGGTCCTTCAACCACGTCTCCGCCTCCTCCTGGCCACTGAAGCCTAAAAGGTTGCCGGATACGGCGGTCTCCTGATGGGAAGTGGTGCCGATGGAGCCGGCGGCGCTTCTCAGCTCCGCGATCTCGACCTTCAGAGCCCTCATGTGGTTCATGATGTCCTCGTGAGCGCCAGGTGGGGCCGTGGGGGGGTCCACGCTCTCCAACTTGGTGATGCGAATCTCAACGTTATCCATGCGTTTCTCCACCGCCGCCATCTTCGTGTGAAGCCGGTTCTCCAGGCTGACGATAGCAGACCGTAATGGTTGGACCTCTTGCTGGAACAGGTGCGCGATTTCATGCAGTGCTGGTGGGCGTCCCTCGGGTGCTGTACTGCTTGCCGGTGCGCTTTCACTGAATGCATCGGTGGGCGTGTTGGGCATCTGCGGCGGCGTGCTGATGGTGTGTTCGAGCGTGCCATCGTCCATCTGGTTGAGCGGGTTAAACAAGTGGCGGCGAACGTCGCGCTCGAGCACTGCCCGAACTGGTGTCCCTGGTGCTCGCGAGCCCATCGGAAGATGGTAAGGGTATGGGAACGGACAGTTGGGCGAAAATGAACACGACAACGCGTTAACAAAGTTGCCCCCCCCCGTTCCCGACTGAACCTTGAGCCTGGACGACCTTGAGCCAAAGTCTTCAGCCAAAGTCTTGAGCAAATCCACCATCATCGCTATCATCATCGTCAACGTCATCGTCTCCGTTATCATCATCATCATCATCATCATCATCATCATCATCATCATCATCATCATCATCATCATCATCATCATCATCATCATCATCATCATCATCATCCTCTGTATCCTCGTCTTCAGTATCCTCCGCGACCGTTCCTGCGGACAAGCATGCGGAGGGCTGC